AAGAGTTCAGTGTTCCCAGGTACAACAAGGGGGAGAAAAGAGGTGAATACTGGGTAGCCTGGCCTTCTGCCAGCAAGAGGTGGCCTTGCCATCTTGCCACATAGGAGATGAGAACAGCAGAGAGTCACACCCCTGGGGATAATCTTTTAATGTAGAGAGACCCACTGGCCTAATTAGTGTCATGAAGTCTGAACAATAAGGGTAGCGACTCCTCTTCCAAAGGAAGGGGCAAGCAATGCAGAGAGCTGAGAGAAGAGGATTAAAAAGTTCCTCATCAGAAGGCCTCAGTATCTAGTTTTTTATCATCTAAGGCTTTTGTATTATAAGGTGCTCAACGCTGTTGTTGTTGTTTAGTTGCTCAGTTGTGTCCAACTCTTTGTGACCCCATGGACGTCAGCATGCCAGGCTTCCCTGTCCTTCACAATCTCCCGGAGTTTGCTCAGGCTCATGTCCATTAAGTCAGTGATGCCATCCAACCATCTCATCCTCTGTCATCCCCTTCTCCTCCTCCCTTCAATCTTTCCCAGCATCAGGGTCTTTTCCAATCAGTCAGCTCTTCGAATAAGGTGGCCAAAGTATTGGAGCGTCAGCCTCAGGTTCAGTCCCTCCAATGAATATTCAGGGTTGATTTCCTTTAGGATTGACTGGCTTGATCTCCTGACTGTCCAAGGGACTCTCAGGAGTCTTCTCCAACACCACAGTTCAAAACCATCAGTTTCCCGGTGCTCAGGCTTCTTTATGGTCCAACTCTTACATCCACACATGACTACTGAAAAAACTATAGCTTTGCCTATACAGACCTTTGGTGGCAAAGTAAAGTTTCTGCTTTTCAATACACTGTCTCGGTTTGCCAGAGCTTTTCTTCCAAGGAGCAAGTGTCTTTTAATTTCATGGCTGCAGTCACCATGTGCAGTGATTTTGGAGCCCAGGAAAAAAAGTTTGTCACTGTTTCCATTGTTTCCCCATCTATTTTTCATGAAGTGATAGGACTGGATGCCATGATCTTCGTTTTTTGAATGTTGAGTTTTAAACCAGCTCAATATTGTACTACTCTTAAGACTTAATACAAGCTTCATTTATGACTGATTTTCACTTCACCTTGTTACTTGAGCCTTCTCTTATGAACTATTATATTTATAAGCATTTATTTCCCATGGCTCTGCTAAAAAGTGAAAAATCATAATCACAATCAAGTCCAGACAACATGCAAAATAATAATGCAGTTTAAAAGCATTATGAGAGCACTACCTCATTATACACAGATGGTGTCTTTGTGGTGGTTAGCACACTCATGGAAAGAAACAACAGGTCTCATTGATTTTTTTGGAAAACTTCACTTTGGGAGATTTGGCAAGAATTTTTCGTCCTCCACAAATTCAGGGGCCCCAGAGTTCACCAGGGTGCAATGTGAGCTCTATCATAAACCACTAAAGAGGTCAAGAAAACTTTATGCTGCAATAGATAACCAGGCTCCTCCCTCAGGTCTCATCAGCCATGTCTGCTGTTTTTACCAACACCTGTGAAAACTTATTTTCCATTTCTACTATTCTTTTCATTACAGTCTTTCTATAGGTGAATGACTAGAATGAACAGTCACCACTTTGGCATGCAGGTTCTTCCTCAGTCTGTTTCTGACTTACCTTTGTAGAGTTAGATCATATTCCTGAAGACTCTGCTTTAGGTAAGTCTTTTTTTTCCTCACCTCTAAGCTTTTCTTGCCATATTCTTCGTAATGCCTAGCATATTACTGCTGATTTTTCTCGGTCCCTCATTCAGCTGCCCTGTCTACTGAACTAGGAGGTCTAAGAGAACCTCACACACATATGGAAGTTGGCACTACTGTGGGCAGGGGGGCCTTGGTCTCCAGCGGCTCACCCTCCGGCAGGCTTCCTTATATGGTGTTCTCAGGAGTGTGACCATGAGGATGAAAAACAGAAGCTATTAGGCCTCTTATGGCCTAGACTCTGGAAGTCACATGTTTTTACTCCAAGTGTACTCTACTAGTTAAAGCAAATAAGCAATGCCAACCCAGTTTCAAGGTACAGAGAAATAGACTTCTAGATGAGTGGATCAGTAGAGCCATATAACAAAGTGGAATATACACCAGGATAGGGGGAATTATGGCCATTAAAAAATTCTTCACACATGACAAGAGAGACAGCAGCTGTCAGATTGTACTGATACAGAATCCATGGCCTCCTGGACAAAGGCTCCTTAGAATGCTTCTGCCTAGAGACAGGATGGGATCCAGGGTCCAATGTAGATGTGGATATCAAGAAGCAAGCAGATCATTACAAAGCTGCCTTACCATCACTGAGCGTGTTCTAGTGTGAGTTGAAAGGACAAAACCACATCACATACTACTCCTGATGGAAAGGCAGGGAGATGGTTATACATACAGCTCCACCATGCTGGCAGTAAGTAAAGACTGAGTTCCTGAGTCTGGTCATCTGCTTTTTTACACCATCAAACTCCACTGTCAATATGCCAAGACTTGATTAGTATCCTGGAGTCTGGACCATGCTAATCAAACTCAGGCAAATCAGACCATGCTAATCAAAGGAATAGCTCTTGTACAAGGAAGATTGCCATAATTTGCAAAGATACAGACTATTAGAGTTTGGTTGCTTGTGTTCCTACCGTAAAGCAACACAAAGATCCAATGTGGATTCAAAAAAAATCTTAGCCAGAATAGGATCCTTGTCAGGGAGATGTGTCAAAATGAAAAAATGATAGGCTGGGCTCAGAGTATCCCTGCCAACTAGTAGTTCTGGGACCGCTCTCTTAGAGAAGTGTTACTCTCCCAGTTACTGCCAGTTTGTTCATCTGTAAAATGAGCATAATTATGCTTACCTGGAAGAGTTGCTATAAGAATTAGAAAGCACAGTAGTGTACAATAAACATTAATTATTAAAAATCACTATAAAGTGCTGAATGCTATTGTGAGACATCGTTAAATACACACTTCACTTCAGATAACACCAAGATCTAAGTGCAGGGTCGGACACTGAACACACCCTGTCCCTTGGACTCATAAGATACTGTTAGCATGTGTCGTGAAATACAGGCCAAGATTCAGAATATTGCATGAGTGCCACTTCCTCTGTCAAACCTTGCCGAACATCTCCTATGTCTCCATTCTCACATCACTACGTATATGTTCGTAAAGGGCTCGGAAGCAGAGGGATAAACGCACTAGAAGTAAAAATCAGTCTCATGATGTCCCATGACCTGGATAGAATGTACTCACCAAGGTGTGAGAAACAGTTCAGCTCATCTCCCCAGATCAAGATTGTATAAAACCATAATGACAGGCTTAATAACAACCACATTGGAGGTATTTTGCCCATCTTAACACTGTGCTGTCCTCAGTCACTTTAGTCGTGTCCGACTCTTTGCGACCTATGGACTGAAGGCTGCCAGGCTCCTCTGTCCATGGGATTCTCCAGGCAAGAATCCTGGAGTGGGTTGCCGTGCCCTGCTCCAGGGATCTTCCTGACCCAGGAATTGAACTCATATCTCCAGCATCTCCTGCATTTCAGGCAGTTTCTTTACCCACTGAGCCACCTAGGAAGCCCATTAGCACACTAAGACCCCCTAAACCTTGTTCCCATTAGCTCATGGTATCAGACTGTGGAGAAGCAAACCTACAGATCTGTCTCCTGACTACCTTCATAAGGCATGTTAACACTAACACATTGCAATTAAATGTTGAGATTAATTTCCCATCATGATTCCCAAGGAGAAGCAATGCTGTGTTGAATAAAATGACATTATAAAGCTAGAGTGAAGTGGGAAAATGCATAATTTTCTTAAAAATAGAAAAACAATAGTATTTCAACCATAGTCCTTAATTTTCCCCCTTTTTCCCAAAATAATTAATGTATTATTCCTTCTTTTATTCCCTTTCAACAGTACCTCTCACTCATGATCTTGCTGAAATAACAGGCCATGCCAATCATTTTGATGATCACTTTAGCTGTTATTCTTCCCACTAGTGAGCAGAAATAATCAGTATTTTTCAGTTTAGATTCATCCACTCAAATAGACACCTTCAACAGGAAGAAGGCATCTATATTTCCACATCTCACTTTCAGGAAAACTTCCATAATACTCAAACTATTGATCAAAAATGAGCCCTAGTCTGAGACATACTGGAAATTTCCCTGGGCAAAGGAGATTAGCTAAGATCAGGTGACCCCAAGATTCAGGTAAAACTCAGCAGCTAGCAATCCAGACCACAGAATCAAAAATGAAGGAATTTTCGCTCTTCAACATTCCAAATAGTAGATACGGTTGATCCCTAAACAAAATGAGGGTTAGGGGCACCTATCCTCCACAAGCAAAAATTTGCCTATAATTTATAGTCTGCTCTTTATATCTGGAACTCCTCTGCATTTCTGTATTCAACCAACAAACTTTAGATTGTGTAGTACTATTGAAAATCCGTATATAATTTATAGTCCGGCCCTCCATAACTGAGTTCCCTCTCTATCCGTGGACCTGTATCACAGATTGAACCAATCTCGGATGGTGCAGTAATGCAGTATCCACTGTAGAAAAACATCTACATATAAGTAGATCTGTGCAGTTCAAGACCGTGATGTTCAAGGGTCCACTGTACTTGTCTTACTTACACTGTACTTGTTCAAGGGTCCACTGTACTATCAGGCTGCCAGGACAAAATACCACAGATTAGGTGATTCAATTACATGACTCAAATTATATTTTCTCACCTTTCTGGAAGCTGGAAGTCCAAGATCAGGGTACCACAAGTGTCAGGTTCTGGTGAGAGCTCCCTCGGGGTGGGCAGACAATCATCTTCTTGCTGTGTCCTCACTTCACGCTGTGTAAAAATATTTAAGTAAGTAATGGACAAGTAATTCGAGGCCTGAACAAAGGCGTGAAGAATAACAACAACAAACAATTCTGTTAAAGTAGCATATAGGCTCTCGGTCCCATATTGAACTCGAGTTGGGAGAGCCGAGTCCGGTCTCAAAATGGAGGTAAAACCGCCGCCCGGTCGCCCCCAGCCCGACTCCGGCCGTTGCCGCCGCCGCCGCCGCCGCCGCCGCCGCCGCCGCCGCCGCCGCCGCCGCCGGGGGGAGGAGGGTCATGACCCCAAGGAACCAGAGCAGCTGAGAAAGCTGTTTATCGGTGGTCTGAGCTTTGAAACTACAGATGACAGCTTAAGAGAACATTTTGAGAAACGGGGCACGCTTACAGATTGTGTGGTGATGAGAGACGCCCAAACAAAACGTTCCAGGGGCTCTGGCTTTGTGACTCACTCTTGTGTTGAAGAAGTGGATGCAGCAATGTGTGCGCGACCGCACAAGGGTGATGGGCGTGTAGTGGAGCCAATGAGAGCTGCTTCTAGAGAGGATTCTGTAAAGCCTGGTGCCCATCTAACAGGGAAGAAAATTTTTGTTGGTGGTATTAAAGAAGATACAGAAGAATATAATTTGAGAGACTACTTTGAAAAGTATGGCAAGATTGAAACCATAGAAGTTATGGAAGACAGGCAGAGTGGGAAAAAGAGAGGATTTGCTTTTGTAACTTTTGATGATCATGATACAGTTGATAAAACTGTTGTTCAGAAATACCACACTATTAATGGGCATAATTGTGAAGTGAAAAAGGCCCTTTCTAAACAAGAGATGCAATCTGCTGGATCACAAAGAGGTCGTGGAGGTGGATCTGGCAACTTTATGGGTCGTGGAGGAAACTTTGGAGGTGGTGGAGGTAAGTCTGGCCGTGGTGGAAACTTTGGTGGAAGAGGAGGCTATGGTGGTGGAGGTGGTGGCAGCCGAGGGAGTTATGGAGGAGGTGATGGTGGATACAATGGATTTGGAGGTGATGGTGGCAACTATGGCGGTGGTCCTGGTTATAGTAGCAGAGGAGGTTACGGTGGTGGTGGACCAGGATATGGAAACCAAGGTGGTGGATATGGTGGCGGTGGTGGAGGATACGATGGTTACAATGAAGGAGGAAATTTTGGAGGTGGTAACTATGGTGGTGGTGGAAACGATCATGATTTTGGAAATTATAGTGGACAACAGCAATCAAATTATGGACCCATGAAAGGGGGTAGTTTTGGTGGAAGCAGCTCGGGCAGTCCCTATGGTGGTGGTTATGGATCTGGTGGTGGAAGTGGTGGATATGGTAGCAGAAGGTTCTAAAAACTCAGAAGAAAAGGGCTACAGTTCTTAGCAGGAGAGAGAGCGAGGAGTTGTCAGGAAAGCTGCAGGTTACTCTGAGACAGTCGTCCCAAATGCGTTAGAGGAACTGTAAAAATCTGCCACAGGAGGAACGATGATCCACAGTCAGAAAAGTTACTGCAGCTTCAACAGGAAACCCTTCTTGTTCAGGACTGTCATAGCCACAGTTTGCAAAAAGTGCAGCTATTGATTAATGCAATGTAGTGTCAATTAGGTGTACATTCCTGAGGTCTTTTATCTGTTGTAGCTTTTTCTTTTTCTTTTTCTTTTCATTACATCAGGTATATTGCCCTGTAAATTGTGGTAGTGGTACCAGGAATAAAAAATTAAGGAATTTTTAACTTTTCAATATTTGTGTAGTTCAGTTTTTCTACATTTTAGTACAGAAACTTTAACAAAATGCAGTTTTGAAGGTGTTTCCTTGTGAGTTAACAAGTAAAGAAGATCATTGTTAATTACTATTTTGTATGAATTTTGCTAAAGTTAACTGTAAAGAAACACCTGCTGACTTGCAGTTTAAGGGGAATCTATTCTCCCCATTTCCAAACCATGAAACGAATGGCTCTGACATGTGGAGAGAATAGATATTTGTATGTTTGCAATATGTGTTTTAGATAATAGAGTTGGGTATTTAAATTAGCATATTTGTGAATTTAATAGCATTAAGATTTACCTTCAAATGAAAAATCTCAAAATTTCAAAAAAAAAAAAAATAAATAAAGTAGCATATAGGTTCTTTAAAGGAGAATGTGAAAGGTGTGATTGGAAGGACTAGATGCAAAAGAACTTGAATATCAAGTTAAGCACTTTAATTTTATCCTACAGTTAATGGTTACATAAAGAAGGTTTCTGATGAGACAAGAGCCATGGTTAACGGGACACTTTAGGGAAACTATCATGGAGAAGAACTTTGCAAGGTAGAGATCAGAAGAAGGGTAATTGATTAGGACATCACTGCAGGGGTCCAGTCAAGTTACTCTGAGTTCAATCTTTACAAAGTTGTTACTATCTAAGATGAATAGGGCAGATTATTTCTCTCTTTGGCAAATGAGGGAAAGGAGCCTCTAATGTCCCAAATTCTGCGGATTAAGAGACTAAATTGTGATCTCGGGGCTGGCAGATTGTAGAGTGTGTAACTAACCTTACAGATTTCTAACTCCAAGTCCGATCCCATTATTTAAACAAACATTTTCTAAGTCAAGAATAAAATGGATAATTTCCATATGGTTCCCTTTCTCCTGGAGGGCAATCTTGATTCTTCTCCAAAAAACCCAGACGTTTTTAAAAAAAAAATAAATCTACTTGGTTTTTCAAGTAGAAAAGGAGAGTTGAACTAAATTCCACATTGGTGGAAATCTACAGGAAATGTATCATAACGGTTAAGAGCATGGGTACCAGTAAGCAGCTGGGTCCAAATCCTGGCTCTGCCAAGTATAAGTGTGGCTCCCAAAGCCCCACTTTTCTTATCCATAAAATGTGAATGTATTAGAACATATCATGAGATAGCCATGAAAAGTGCCAGCTGCATAGCAAATATTCAGTAACCATAAACCGTGGATACTCTTAAATACATCAAATAAGAAAAATTCTCAGTTGTTTAAGCTGAAAATGTGTTGAGCAGGTTCATACTGGTCTCTAGAATCAAATGTGGTCTCCCAGTTGGAAGCATAAGTCACCTGTGGCCAGGCAGAGAGAAGGAGGTTTACTTTTTTTTTTTTTTTTTTTTTTTTAGGAGGTTTACTTTAAACAATGAAAAGGGAAAATTCACTACGGACATTTTTGTTTAATTTCAAACGTACCATGAGAAAGACAAAGAACATTCTATCTATCCAAAAAAAAAAAAAAAGATCATGTATTATACCTACTAGAAGGTCAAACTTGTAGTTTCAATCTCTCAATGGTATATGCACATGCTAATTTACAAAGGTAAATTCTGTCGATTAAAATGAAATGATTTTGCTTGGCAGTCAAGTGCAGGAAGACAAACATCAAATCTCAGTAGCTACACTTCCAGCTGTTTTGCAAACAGAGATAAAAGATAATCCCTGACTAAATAGCATCACTTTCCGGATAAAAATCAACTCTGAAGAGCACTGCATTGAATAGGGGAAGCCAGGTTTACTCTAAAAATATCCAATAATTGGGGCTGAATAATATTTATTAGAAGAACTTATGCACAGTGTTGAAACTGACAAGAGTGTTGCTTTTTGGCACAGCATGGTACAAGTATCAGTAATTAAGGAAAAACTTAAAGAGCATCTGCAATGAGAATGCTCAGTATGGCAAATCTCTCTGCAAGTAAATTTACCATGCTTCATTATTGGTATCCAGCCAAAGACACACAGAACAATTTAAATGTCATGTGATATCACATCACTTCATAAAGCTTCAAGATTTCTAAGCTCTACCACCATTTATGGAATTACCAGTATCATTACCAACACTTGCCCTATCCCCATCAACAACCTCACTTCTAATAGCAGCTCTATTAGAAGTGAGGCCAACTCACTATCTTCACCTCTTCAACTTTCATTACGTCTTCTACCACCATAAGCATCGTCAGTTCTACCACCGATGTTGCCAGCTCTGCCACCAACATCATCATTCCCGTATCTATCTCCACAACTCCTTCACCAACACTATCCACCAACCACTCCACCATGTCCACCATCCCCTCATTGTTACTGGCTGGAGCACACTTGTCACCACACACAGCACTCACAGTCATTACCATAGTTCTTCATGGACCTCTAGTTTATCAAATGCTACAGACCCACGTAGTTTCCCTTTCCTCAATCCAAACTGCTAAACTGAGTGGCAATATAGAAAATTAGTCATATAGCAGTTAATCCTTCTGTATGCTGATCCCAAACTCAGTTTCTGCTGAACTGCTCACAATTTAGGGTAGAGAATAGATGTGCAAACAAGCAGACCATTTCTGTTTTTATTTTTTATCTAGCCACTTTACCACTGCCATTTCAATGGCATGGATTATTTTTAATATGGCCACTGCATATTGGAAACTCACCCATTTCTCATCCCATCCCGCACCCTCAATTTACGACACATCCCTGACAGTGGAATTCAGCAAGAGTATGTTACCTGGGTATAGGATAAAACAAAATAGCTTACACATTCAATCCTAAAGGAAATCAACCATGAATATTCATTGGAAGGACTGAAGCTCCTGAGACTGAGGCTCCTGAGACTGAGGCTGAAGCTCCAATACTTTGGCCACCTGATGCAAAGAACTGACTCACTAGAAAAGACCCCGATGCTGGAAAAGATTGAGGGTGAGAGGAGAAGGGGACAATAGAGGATAAGGTGGTTGGATGGCATCACCAACTCTATGGACATGAGTTTCAGCAAACTATGGGAGATGCTGAAGGACAGGGAAGTATGGTGTGCTGTAGTCCATGGGGTTGCAAAGAGTTGGACGTGACTTGGCCACTGAACCCCAACAATAATTTTAATAAAAGTAGTAATCCTACTGATAAAAGCATACTTCAATCAAAGGAGCCACATCAAAGTTACAGTGTCAAGAAATCTCTAGGATCAGAGATTACATTAAAATGCCCACTTTGAAAAACCTTCAATTACAGTTGACAATAACATGTGCTAAATATTATGGTACCAATAATGCATTCTGCAAGAATTACATTTTCTGATGACAAAGAACACAAACTCACGTAAAAAATTTTTTCATGTCATTTAGAAATTCCCCAAGTCCAATTTGTTCATGTGAAAAAATTTGATCAACTATTTCTCAGGTGAATCCCCATACTCATACATTACAACCAAAAATACTTTCACTTAATGAATTAACAAGAAGTCAAGATGTTGCATTGTTAAAAAAAAATAAAAGTATCTGATGGGAAGCAGATGGGAAACTTAAGAAAATGGGGGAAAATCTTTGGTTGATGGTAAAGAACAATTATACTGGATATCTTTCAGCTTTCTATATATGCTCAGAAGCATCCAACTCTTTGCAACCCTGTGGACTGTAGCCTGCCAGGCTCCTCTGCCCATGGGATTTTCCAGGCAAGAATACTGAAGTGGGTTCCATTTCCTTCTCCAGAGGAGGGCTTCCCTGTTGGCTCAGATGATAAAGAATCCACCTGCAACGCAGGATATCCAGGTTCCACCCCTAGGTCATGAAGATGTCCTGGAGAAGGGAATGGCAACCCACTCCAGTATTCTTGCCTGGGAAATCTTATGGACAGAGGAGTCTGGCGGGCTACAGCCCACGGGGTTGCAAAGAGTCAGACACGACTGAGTGGCTAACACCTTCACACTTTCTTTTCACTTCCTCCAGGGGCTCTTCCCCAACCCAGGGATCGAACCCATGTCTCCTAAGTCTCCTGCACTGGCAGGTGGAGTCTTCGCCACTGAGCCACTAGGAAAGCTGAGTAGCAACTATTTCCCGTGGTTGCTAGCATCTGCCTGCCTCAATTCTTCTAAACCGGCCCATTCATCTGCAAGTAACCACTCTGCTAAGGTTCCTGAATTCCAGCCATCTGGGATGAAGTCTAACTCCTGATAGCAGCCTGATTGAAACAGCAGTGAAGAGGAGATATGACACTTATGCTGCTCTTTTAAATACCTTGAAAAGAGGTCATCATCCCAGACTGGCAGACAGATAAAACAGCTCAGCGGTCTGCTTGAAACTAGCCTTCAGGGAGAGTCAGACAAGATATTTTTTTCCCAGATGTATCGATCTCTCCAGGCTTCCCTGGTGGCTCAGTGGTAAAGAATCCACTTGCAATGCAGGAGATGCGGATTAGATTCATGGGTCATGAAGGTCCCTGGGTCATGGAAGAGGAAATGGCAATCCACCCCAGTATTCTTGCCTGGAAAATTCCATGGATAGTGGAGCCTGGTGGGCTGCAGTCCAAGGAGTTGCAAAAGAGTCGGACATGACTGAGCGACTAAACAACTACAGATCTCCTCTCCACTTCCAGCTCCACCACTTGATCTTGAATTTATAGAAGACAGATAAAGGGAAACTTAACAATACATTCCAGTTTGTTTACCTCAAGCTGCGGGGTAGAGTGGGGATCTGTGAGCACACAGAATAGTATACAATTAGACTATCTTTCAGACCAATTCTCTCAAGGATCTAGGCATAGCACAAAAGAGGAAGAAGACTCCATAAAATTAACAGTATCTTACATTTTATAGTACTACTGTTTCCAAAATGTTTGCTGTTCAGTCACTCAGTCATGTCCGACTCTTTGCAACCCCATGGACGGCAGCACACCAGGCTTCCCTGTCCTCCCCATCTCCCAGAGTTTGCTCAGGCTCACGTCCATTGAGTCGGTGATGCCATCCAACCAATTCATCCTCTGCCACCCCCTTCTCCTTCTGCCCTCAGTTTCCCCCAGTATCAGGGTCTTTTCTAATGAGTCAACTTTTCACATCAGGTGGTCAAAATATTGGAGTTTTGTATCCTTCATGTTATCTGACTTAGATATTGCCTACTTAGGAAATCAGACCCTAACAATCTGATTGGAGGAGGCAAAGCTAAGAAGGTAAAGAGAACACTGAAAATAGCCATACTACAAAAAGTAAATAACATTTGGAGAGTAGGTATACTGGGCTATCTCATCTAATGCAATTGTTCCAATTCTTGTTTAAAAACTGACTATAAAGCAATTTTCTTTTAATCAAAATGTATTTTTCCCATTAACTTCCATTACCAAGCCAAAGATATGTTCCCCACAGGCAATATTCTAGCCCTAAGTCTAAATAAAAATAACATTTAACAATGCAACAAACCCCTCTAAAGTCAATTATCTAAAGTAAAAGCTATAGTTTTCTGACCAAACAATAATCACACTCAAAGTAATACAGAAAAAGCAAATAAAGTCTCCAGAACAACAATACCTTAAGGACAGACCCACTTAGAGGCAAAGTCACTGACAGAGGCGTCCATGTGAGGCAGACTGTGATGTCATGATTTATAGTAAGAAATATATACACCCGTTCTTTCTCCCAGTCCTGGGAGGAAGAGTTCTTAAAAACCTCGGAATTTCTGTTGGAGGAGGTCATTGAGAGGACATGACCTCCCCTTGACTTCTGAATTGGCCCCGGGCAACTGGAGGCTCATCACCCCCCTCACCCCATCCCCCGTCCATGGCATGTACATACTGCGCACCATTCCCGCAGCTGGAACTGTTTTCAAGCATGCAACCTTTGAGAGAGCCCCATGGTGTTGAGATCGTTGGCCCAGCATATACGAATGAACAGTTAAGTCCTCTACATAAACTTTTAAGACCTCTGGTGCAGAGATCTAACCCTCTTGCAACAGTGGAAGACAAGCCTCGTTTGTAAATATCCTTGCTTATTCCAATCTCCACCTACCAGTCTGGCCAGTTCTTCTCTCCTTTGTACTAACAGTGTCCTAAGTGATAAGAGCATTAGAGGCGAAAAGGAAAAAAAGTCCTTTTTCTCATTCATAACAAGTCCCGTTCAACCACAACTGAGTTTACTAGTTTTTAAAGAAAAAAAAAAAAAAAAAAAAGGTGACTTTCAGAAAGCACAATTCCAAGAGAAGCAATCAGGTGAGTGGGAGGAGGGGTGAATAAGGGGTTGGAACTTTCAGTTCCACCCTCGGAGCTACCCGTACCCCTCACGCCTATGTGGGACACAGTTTGAAGGACCCTGGGGAGGTTACACTCAAAACTTTCCAACACTTGATGTCTGGCATTCCATTCCTGCTTACATTCCTTTAAGCTAAATAACACTTCTTTCTCTCAGAGTCATTGTCTTCTTCCTTTTTTGGAGGGGGCGGGGGGAGTTGGTGATGGTCCTACCCTGAAGCACCTGGAATAGACATTCAAGGGTCAATTCAATTAACTAGCACCCAGATGAATTCAATCATACAAATAAACTGGCATCTCTAAATGTCGCCTCAAGTGGCCATAGGCAGATCAGAACTTTCTTCTGAACAGGAAATAGGCTTTAAAAGGTTAACTTGGTATACCTTAGAAGCCATGTAATCTTTAGACCATCTACATCAGAATTACCAAAGATGCTTATTTAAAAATGTACATACTTATCGCCACCCTAGACCTTCTGAACCCGTATCCCAGAAATTGTTCTGGAAATCTGAAACCAAACAAGCTCCCAGGGTCATGTGAACACTAGAAAACCACTGTGCTTAGTCGTGCAGTCATGTTCAACTCTTTGTGTGACCTCATGGACACTAGCCCACCAGGCTCTTCTGTCCATGGGATTCTCCAGGCAAGAATCCTGGAGTGGGTTGCCGTGCCCTGCTCCAGGGATCTTCCTGACCCAGGAATTGAACTCATATCTCCAGCATCTCCTGCATTTCAGGCAGTTTCTTTACCCACTGAGCCACCTAGGAAGCCCATTAGCACACTAAGACCCCCTAAACCTTGTTCCCATTAGCTCATGGTATCAGACTGTGGAGAAGCAAACCTACAGATCTGTCTCCTGACTACCTTCATAAGGCATGTTAACACTAACACATTGCAATTAAATGTTGAGATTAATTTCCCATCATGATTCCCAAGGAGAAGCAATGCTGTGTTGAATAAAATGACATTATAAAGCTAGAGTGAAGTGGGAAAATGCATAATTTTCTTAAAAATAGAAAAACAATAGTATTTCAACCATAGTCCTTAATTTTCCCCCTTTTTCCCAAAATAATTAATGTATTATTCCTTCTTTTATTCCCTTTCAACAGTACCTCTCACTCATGATCTTGCTGAAATAACAGGCCATGCCAATCATTTTGATGATCACTTTAGCTGTTATTCTTCCCACTAGTGAGCAGAAATAATCAGTATTTTTCAGTTTAGATTCATCCACTCAAATAGACACCTTCAACAGGAAGAAGGCATCTATATTTCCACATCTCACTTTCAGGAAAACTTCCATAATACTCAAACTATTGATCAAAAATGAGCCCTAGTCTGAGACATACTGGAAATTTCCCTGGGCAAAGGAGATTAGCTAAGATCAGGTGACCCCAAGATTCAGGTAAAACTCAGCAGCTAGCAATCCAGACCACAGAATCAAAAATGAAGGAATTTTCGCTCTTCAACATTCCAAATAGTAGATACGGTTGATCCCTAAACAAAATGAGGGTTAGGGGCACCTATCCTCCACAAGCAAAAATTTGCCTATAATTTATAGTCTGCTCTTTATATCTGGAACTCCTCTGCATTTCTGTATTCAACCAACAAACTTTAGATTGTGTAGTACTATTGAAAATCCGTATATAATTTATAGTCCGGCCCTCCATAACTGAGTTCCCTCTCTATCCGTGGACCTGTATCACAGATTGAACCAATCTCGGATGGTGCAGTAATGCAGTATCCACTGTAGAAAAACATCTACATATAAGTAGATCTGTGCAGTTCAAGACCGTGATGTTCAAGGGTCCACTGTACTTGTCTTACTTACACTGTACTTGTTCAAGGGTCCACTGTACTATCAGGCTGCCAGGACAAAATACCACAGATTAGGTGATTCAATTACATGACTCAAATTATATTTTCTCACCTTTCTGGAAGCTGGAAGTCCAAGATCAGGGTACCACAAGTGTCAGGTTCTGGTGAGAGCTCCCTCGGGGTGGGCAGACAATCATCTTCTTGCTGTGTCCTCACTTCACGCTGTGTAAAAATATTTAAGTAAGTAATGGACAAGTAATTCGAGGCCTGAACAAAGGCGTGAAGAATAACAACAACAAACAATTCTGTTAAAGTAGCATATAGGCTCTCGGTCCCATATTGAACTCGAGTTGGGAGAGCCGAGTCCGGTCTCAAAATGGAGGTAAAACCGCCGCCCGGTCGCCCCCAGCCCGACTCCGGCCGTTGCCGCCGCCGCCGCCGCCGCCGCCGCCGCCGCCGCCGCCGCCGCCGCCGCCGGGGGGAGGAGGGTCATGACCCCAAGGAACCAGAGCAGCTGAGAAAGCTGTTTATCGGTGGTCTGAGCTTTGAAACTACAGATGACAGCTTAAGAGAACATTTTGAGAAACGGGGCACGCTTACAGATTGTGTGGTGATGAGAGACGCCCAAACAAAACGTTCCAGGGGCTCTGGCTTTGTGACTCACTCTTGTGTTGAAGAAGTGGATGCAGCAATGTGTGCGCGACCGCACAAGGGTGATGGGCGTGTAGTGGAGCCAATGAGAGCTGCTTCTAGAGAGGATTCTGTAAAGCCTGGTGCCCATCTAACAGGGAAGAAAATTTTTGTTGGTGGTATTAAAGAAGATACAGAAGAATATAATTTGAGAGACTACTTTGAAAAGTATGGCAAGATTGAAACCATAGAAGTTATGGAAGACAGGCAGAGTGGGAAAAAGAGAGGATTTGCTTTTGTAACTTTTGATGATCATGATACAGTTGATAAAACTGTTGTTCAGAAATACCACACTATTAATGGGCATAATTGTGAAGTGAAAAAGGCCCTTTCTAAACAAGAGATGCAATCTGCTGGATCACAAAGAGGTCGTGGAGGTGGATCTGGCAACTTTATGGGTCGTGGAGGAAACTTTGGAGGTGGTGGAGGTAACTCTGGCCGTGGTGGAAACTTTGGTGGAAGAGGAGGCTATGGTGGTGGAGGTGGTGGCAGCCGAGGGAGTTATGGAGGAGGTGATGGTGGATACAATGGATTTGGAGGTGATGGTGGCAACTATGGCGGTGGTCCTGGTTATAGTAGCAGAGGAGGTTACGGTGGTGGTGGACCAGGATATGGAAACCAAGGTGGTGGATATGGTGGCGGTGGTGGAGGATACGATGGTTACAATGAAGGAGGAAATTTTGGAGGTGGTAACTATGGTGGTGGTGGAAACGATCATGATTTTGGAAATTATAGTGGACAACAGCAATCAAATTATGGACCCATGAAAGGGGGTAGTTTTGGTGGAAGCAGCTCGGGCAGTCCCTATGGTGGTGGTTATGGATCTGGTGGTGGAAGTGGTGGATATGGTAGCAGAAGGTTCTAAAAACTCAGAAGAAAAGGGCTACAGTTCTTAGCAGGAGAGAGAGCGAGGAGTTGTCAGGAAAGCTGCAGGTTACTCTGAGACAGTCGTCCCAAATGCGTTAGAGGAACTGTAAAAATCTGCCACAGGAGGAACGATGATCCACAGTCAGAAAAGTTACTGCAGCTTCAACAGGAAACCCTTCTTGTTCAGGACTGTCATAGCCACAGTTTGCAAAAAGTGCAGCTATTGATTAATGCAATGTAGTGTCAATTAGGTGTACATTCCTGAGGTCTTTTATCTGTTGTAGCTTTTTCTTTTTCTTTTTCTTTTCATTACATCAGGTATATTGCCCTGTAAATTGTGGTAGTGGTACCAGGAATAAAAAATTAAGGAATTTTTAACTTTTCAATATTTGTGTAGTTCAGTTTTTCTACATTTTAGTACAGAAACTTTAACAAAATGCAGTTTTGAAGGTGTTTCCTTGTGAGTTAACAAGTAAAGAAGATCATTGTTAATTACTATTTTGTATGAATTTTGCTAAAGTTAACTGTAAAGAAACACCTGCTGACTTGCAGTTTAAGGGGAATCTATTCTCCCCATTTCCAAACCATGAAACGAATGGCTCTGACATGTGGAGAGAATAGATATTTGTATGTTTGCAATATGTGTTTTAGATAATAGAGTTGGGTATTTAAATTAGCATATTTGTGAATTTAATAGCATTAAGATTTACCTTCAAATGAAAAATCTCAAAATTTCAAAAAAAAAAAATAAAGTAGCATATAGGTTCTTTAAAGGAGAATGTGAAAGGTGTGATTGGAAGGACTAGATGCAAAAGAACTTGAATATCAAGTTAAGCACTTTAATTTTATCCTACAGTTAATGGTTACATAAAGAAGGTTTCTGATGAGACAAGAGCCATGGTTAACGGGACACTTTAGGGAAACTATCATGGAGAAGAACTTTGCAAGGTAGAGATCAGAAGAAGGGTAATTGATTAGGACATCACTGCAGGGGTCCAGTCAAGTTACTCTGAGTTCAATCTTTACAAAGTTGTTACTATCTAAGATGAATAGGGCAGATTATTTCTCTCTTTGGCAAATGAGGGAAAGGAGCCTCTAATGTCCCAAATTCTGCGGATTAAGAGACTAAATTGTGATCTCGGGGCTGGTAGATTGTAGAGTGTGTAACTAACCTTACAGATTTCTAACTCCAAGTCCGATCCCATTATTTAAACAAACATTTTCTAAGTCAAGAATAAAATGGATAATTTCCATATGGTTCCCTTTCTCCTGGAGGGCAATCTTTATTCTTCTCCAAAAAACCCAGACGTTTTTTTAAAAAAAATAAATCTACTTGGTTTTTCAAGTAGAAAAGGAGAGTTGAACTAAATTCCACATTGGTGGAAATCTACAGGAAATGTATCATAACGGTTAAGAGCATGGGTACCAGTAAGCAGCTGGGTCCAAATCCTGGCTCTGCCAAGTATAAGTGTGGCTCCCAAAGCCCCACTTTTCTTATCCATAAAATGTGAATGTATTAGAACATATCATGAGATAGCCATGAAAAGTGCCAGCTGCATAGCAAATATTCAGTAACCATAAACCGTGGATACTCTTAAATACATCAAATAAGAAAAATTCTCAGTTGTTTAAGCTGAAAATGTGTTGAGCAGGTTCATACTGGTCTCTAGAATCAAATGTGGTCTCCCAGTTGGAAGAATAAGTCACCTGTGGCCAGGCAGAGAGAAGGAGGTTTACTTTTTTTTTTTTTTTTTTTTTTTTTTTTTTAGGAGGTTTACTTTAAACAATGAAAAGGGAAAATTCACTACGGACATTTTTGTTTAATTTCAAACATACCATGAGAAAGACAAAGAACATTCTATCTATCCAAAAAAAAAAAAAAAGATCATGTATTATACCTACTAGAAGGTCAAACTTGTAGTTTCAATCTTTCAATGGTATATGCACATGCTAATTTACAAAGGTAAATTCTGTCGATTAAAATGAAATGATTTTGCTTGGCAGTCAAGTGCAGGAAGACAAACATCAAATCTCAGTAGCTACACTTCCAGCTGTTTTGCAAACAGAGATAAAAGATAATCCCTGACTAAATAGCATCACTTTCCGGATAAAAATCAACTCTGAAGAGCACTGCATTGAATAGGGGAAGCCAGGTTTACTCTAAAAATATCCAATAATTGGGGCTGAATAATATTTATTAGAAGAACTTATGCACAGTGTTGAAACTGACAAGAGTGTTGCTTTTTGGCACAGCATGGTACAAGTATCAGTAATTAAGGAAAAACTTAAAGAGCATCTGCAATGAGAATGCTCAGTATGGCAAATCTCTCTGCAAGTAAATTTACCATGCTTCATTATTGGTATCCAGCCAAAGACACACAGAACAATTTAAATGTCATGTGATATCACATCACTTCATAAAGCTTCAAGATTTCTAAGCTCTACCACCATTTATGGAATTACCAGTATCATTACTAACACTTGCCCTATCCCCATCAACAACCTCACTTCTAATAGCAGCTCTATTAGAAGTGAGGCCAACTCACTATCTTCACCTCTTCAACTTTCATTACGTCTTCTACCACCATAAGCATCGTCAGTTCTACCACCGATGTTGCCAGCTCTGCCACCAACATCATCATTCCCGTATCTATCTCCACAACTCCTTCACCAACACTATCCACCAACCACTCCACCATGTCCACCATCCCCTCATTGTTACTGGCTGGAGCACACTTGTCACCACACACAGCACTCACAGTCATTACCATAGTTCTTCATGGACCTCTAGTTTATCAAATGCTACAGACCCACGTAGTTTCCCTTTCCTCAATCCAAACTGCTAAACTGAGTGGCAATATAGAAAATTAGTCATATAGCAGTTAATCCTTCTGTATGCTGATCCCAAACTCAGTTTCTGCTGAACTGCTCACAATTTAGGGTAGAGAATAGATGTGCAAACAAGCAGACCATTTCTGTTTTTATTTTTTATCTAGCCACTTTACCACTGCCATTTCAATGGCATGGATTATTTTTAATATGGCCACTGCATATTGGAAACTCACCCATTTCTCATCCCATCCCGCACCCTCAATTTACGACACATCCCTGACAGTGGAATTCAGCAAGAGTATGTTACCTGGGTATAGGATAAAACAAAATAGCTTACACATTCAATCCTAAAGGAAATCAACCATGAATATTCATTGGAAGGACTGAAGCTCCTGAGACTGAGGCTCCTGAGACTGAGGCTGAAGCTCCAATACTTTGGCCACCTGATGCAAAGAACTGACTCACTAGAAAAGACCCCGATGCTGGAAAAGATTGAGGGTGAGAGGAGAAGGGGACAATAGAGGATAAGGTGGTTGGATGGCATCACCAACTCTATGGACATGAGTTTCAGCAAACTATGGGAGATGCTGAAGGACAGGGAAGTATGGTGTGCTGTAGTCCATGGGGTTGCAAAGAGTTGGACGTGACTTGGCCACTGAACCCCAACAATAATTTTAATAAAAGTAGTAATCCTACTGATAAAAGCATACTTCAATCAAAGGAGCCACATCAAAGTTACAGTGTCAAGAAATCTCTAGGATCAGAGATTACATTAAAATGCCCACTTTGAAAAACCTTCAATTACAGTTGACAATAACATGTGCTAAATATTATGGTACCAATAATGCATTCTGCAAGAATTACATTTTCTGATGACAAAGAACACAAACTCACGTAAAAAATTTTTTCATGTCATTTAGAAATTCCCCAAGTCCAATTTGTTCATGTGAAAAAATTTGATCAACTATTTCTCAGGTGAATCCCCATACTCATACATTACAACCAAAAATACTTTCACTTAATGAATTAACAAGAAGTCAAGATGTTGCATTGTTAAAAAAAAATAAAAGTATCTGATGGGAAGCAGATGGGAAACTTAAGAAAATGGGGGAAAATCTTTGGTTGATGGTAAAGAACAATTATACTGGATATCTTTCAGCTTTCTATATATGCTCAGAAGCATCCAACTCTTTGCAACCCTGTGGACTGTAGCCTGCCAGGCTCCTCTGCCCATGGGATTTTCCAGGCAAGAATACTGAAGTGGGTTCCATTTCCTTCTCCAGAGGAGGGCTTCCCTGTTGGCTCAGATGATAAAGAATCCACCTGCAACGCAGGATATCCAGGTTCCACCCCTAGGTCATGAAGATGTCCTGGAGAAGGGAATGGCAACCCACTCCAGTATTCTTGCCTGGGAAATCTTATGGACAGAGGAGTCTGGCGGGCTACAGCCCACGGGGTTGCAAAGAGTCAGACACGACTGAGTGGCTAACACCTTCACACTTTCTTTTCACTTCCTCCAGGGGCTCTTCCCCAACCCAGGGATCGAACCCATGTCTCCTAAGTCTCCTGCACTGGCAGGTGGAGTCTTCGCCACTGAGCCACTAGGAAAGCTGAGTAGCAACTATTTCCCGTGGTTGCTAGCATCTGCCTGCCTCAATTCTTCTAAACCGGCCCATTCATCTGCAAGTAACCACTCTGCTAAGGTTCCTGAATTCCAGCCATCTGGGATGAAGTCTAACTCCTGATAGCAGCCTGATTGAAACAGCAGTGAAGAGGAGATATGACACTTATGCTGCTCTTTTAAATACCTTGAAAAGAGGTCATCATCCCAGACTGGCAGACAGATAAAACAGCTCAGCGGTCTGCTTGAAACTAGCCTTCAGGGAGAGTCAGACAAGAT